TCATAGTTTTGATGTCTTTACTATTATTCTACAATGTAGAAAATAGTAAAAATAAAGAAAAACCCTTGAATGAGTAGGTGTGTCCAAACTTTTGACTGGTAATGTATATCGAAATCCCGACGTGGCCCTCGAGCCAAAAACTCTGTCCAGCCCTGAGTTAGAATGTGTACTTCTCTGCTTTTGAGAGGAGCTGGCTACTGTACCTGGAGACTTCCAGCAATTGCGCTAAGCTAAAAATATGCTAATTTCAATGATCTCCAAACTGCACGCAGAGACATAAATATGGTATCAATTAGTTAATTTGACTCTGGGTAAGTAGAAAAACGACCTACATTTCGAAATCTCGCTGTTTCCCTTTAATCCCACTGACATTGTGACCTAGTACTTTCTCACTAAATGTTTGGGAATATTTCTAGCTGAGGTTTGTGTCAGAGTTTAGGCTCTCCCTCCTTTTGGAGCACAGCATGTAGACTGAGGTTGTGGGGACTTCCGCTATTACTCTTGCATCGCAGGGCTAAGTAGGGGGTTCCACTGTCAGTACGACCTGCCTCATTTGACATGTTGGCATGACAACGGGTCAGGTGGACCTAGCTCAAGTGTGTGAGTGTGCAAGGGTTATGCAAGTGTTTCGTAAAATAGTTGAACCTCTACTAATCAAAATCACCAGTTTTGCATTACAGTATTATGTGATCCTTAATCAGTAACTCATGAATACCAGTTTCATATTTGCACTCTCCATGCAAATTACCCAAGGGTTGCTTTTGTACTGATTCTGACACCATTTCCATAATTATCACCGTTCTAATTGTCCCTGTGGGCTATCTCCCTGACTCATTCATTCGTGATTCTTATTTTCCATCGACCAATCTTCCCATGTGAAAAGTCTTGAAATATGGGCAATCAATTTTTTATTAGAATTCTTTAATTTCTCACAGCGATTTATGCAGGGCTGAATGTGTAGTGTCTGCAGTCTGACTGGCAGTGGGGGATAACTGAAGCAGGTGCCAGGCATGATGGATTGGACCTCTTAAGTATAATTGCAGACAGTGTGAGTTGGGGTCTGGCTGCACGTGCCGTGAACCTTTATTCATAGCGCTGATAGAGGATGAACCGGCTCACCTGCTCTTCTTTAAGGGTTCCTTTATTCAACGAGTGGTGAATAATGCCTTTAGAAGTAGGAGCCTTTAGAAGATGTCCTTCTCAGCTTACACAGCCTTCAAAAACCCTCCCAGTCCCTCAGACACCTAACCCGACCTAGAGTTAAATGAAACTTGAATTAATGTCCATGTCTGTAGTTACAGTATCTGATGCTACCAGTATGTAGCCTTGTGTATAGTAAAGCCATCAAATAACTGGGGTGTTACTTCAGCTTACGTTGCTAGTTTCACCTCATTACAGTACAGTGGGGAAAAAAAGTATTTAGTCAGCCACCAATTGTGCAAGTTCTCCCACTTAAAAAGATGAGAGAGGCCTGTAATTTTCATCATAGGTACACGCCAACTATGACAGACAAAATGAGGAAAAAATTTAATAATTTATTTGCAAATTATGGTGGAAAATAAGTATTTGGTCAATAACAAAAGTTTCTCAATACTTTGTTATATACCCTTTGTTGGCAATGACACAGGTCAAACGTTTTCTGTAAGTCTTCACAAGGTTTTCACACACTGTTGCTGGTATTTTGGCCCATTCCTCCATGCAGATCTCCTCTAGAGCAGTGATGTTTTGGGGCTGTCGCTGGGCAACACGGACTTTCAACTCCCTCCAAAGATTTTCTATGGGGTTGAGATCTGGAGACTGGCTAGGCCACTCCAGGACCTTGAAATGCTTCTTACGAAGCCACTCTTTCATTGCCCGGGCAACTCAGCATTCTTTGTCCTCCAAACAGAGAGTTGAGTTTTTACCAAAAAGTTCTATTTTGGTTTCATCTGACCATATGACATTCTCCCAATCCTCTTCTGGATCATCCATTTGCACTCTAGCAAACTTCAGACGGGCCTGGACATGTACTGGCTTAAGCAGGGGGACACGTCTGGCACTGCAGGATTTGAGTCCCTGGCGGCGTAGTGTGTTACTGATGGTAGGCTTTGTTACTTTGGTCCCAGCTCTCTGCAGGTCATTCACTAGGTCTCCCCGTGTGGTTCTGGGATTTTTGCTCACCGTTCTTGTGATCATTTTGACCCCACGGGGTGAGATCTTACGTGGAGCCCCAGATCGAGGGAGATTATCAGTCGTCTTGTATGTCTTCCATTTCCTAATAATTGCTCCCACAGTTGATTTCTTCAAACCAAGCTGCTTACCTATTGCAGATTCAGTCTTCCCAGCCTGGTGCAGGTCTACAATTTTGTTTCTGGTGTCCTTTGACAGCTCTTTGGTCTTGGCCATAGTGGAGTTTGGAGTGTGACTGTTTGAGGTTGTGGACAGGTGTATTTTATACTGATAACAAGTTCAAACAGGTGCCATTAATACAGGTAACGAGTGGAGGACAGAGGAGCCTCTTAAAGAAGAAGTTACAGGTCTGTGAGAGCCAGAAATCTTGCTTGTTTGTAGGTGACCAAATACTTATTTTCCACCATAATTTGCAAATAAATTCATTAAAAATCCTACAATGTGATTTTCTGGATTTTTTTCTCTCAATTTGTCTGTCATAGTTGACATGTACATATGATGAAACTTACAGGCCTCTCTCATCTTTTTAAGTGGGAGAACTTGCACAATTGGTGGCTGACTAAATACTTTTTTTCCCCCACTGTATATACCTGTTGGTGTGATCACCGTGTGAGTAATGAGGGTGAGTGGGCCCAGTGTTTACCTGGCCAGGTGGTCCTCCATGACTTCATTATGGTTCTCCTTTAAGCCCCTGAGGGAGTCACCGGGAGACTCCCTATGGCCTTGTTACCTTCAACAGAAAACCCACAGGACTGGTTATATTTGTTTCGCAGCTTAATTCAATCCCCCAGGTGTGCTGCCACTGTTAACTTCTTCTCACAACAAAGTGCAACATTCATGCAACAAATACAGCAAGGTGGTCGCTTGTGGTCATCAGTCTGGTTATTATTTTAATCATGATGAATTAATGGAATTAAAGAATTGAACGAGGCGATTTATCTTTGCTCATAAAATTGTATTTATTGGCAGTGTCTGTGTGTTCTAATGGAAATTCCTCTCAAATTCCATTTTCAGTGAGAGAAAAATATACATAACCATTTATGATATCAGTCATTGTTCAGTATGACTGTTATAAAGGACTGTTATGAAAAAGCGCACTACTTCTTTTGTAGAGCCCCCCCCCGGGCTCTACAAAAGCCATTATCTTCTCTAAATAGCATCAAATTGACTATTAAGTTGACCTAATGAAAAATAAACCCCACAATGGCAACGCAAAATAATATTCTTTACTCATTGAGAATTATGATTATAGAAATGATAGTTCCCTCTTGGGGGTGAGAGTATGACTTATGCCTGCTGCCTCTGCACGTTGTTTAGTCAATTCTTATTTAGAGACACTGCAAGACTGTTTACTTAGAAAGGGAAGGCCTGATACAAAATTACACCTTGTCAAAATAGATTTACACGGTTGTGGTACTTTTGGAAAGAAAAGTAGTTTAAATTGGCTGTTAGTGCCAGTGATTGACTGCTTGACCATTGCGTCATAGACATTTATTGGACATTAATGTGCTGAGTTGTGGTTTTAGACAAGGCTCTGCAACGTAGTCTCAAGGTAATTCGTATTATTCTGTTAACTAAATCTGTGACACTCCATTTAGTATGATATGTTATGTTATGTTAGGTTACATTATGAATGGAATAGTGGTCGTACAATATCATACGAATTAGAGGACGTATAGTATCATACGTCTTACCATGTCGTACAATAGCATACGAATTGGATGACGTAAGTTATCATACCTCTTGGAGGACGTATAGTTTTGGAGTCTTTCTCTGAGTCCAGGTTGCTTGTTGCGTTGTAACAACAAAGGAGAATTATGAGGAGAATTTACGTGAAAGGTTGGTTAGGGGAACTAAAACGACAATGTAGCATGTTGGTGAATTGGGTTAGAATAAGGATTAGGGGGAAGGCTTAGCTAAAATGCTCCAGTTGTCTCCGACGCAACTCGAACACGCAACCTTTGGATTGCTAGACTGTCGCAGATTACACCCACCCATCCTCCCCAACCAACCTCCCTACTTTCGTTTCTGTCTAAAGTAACTAGACCATTAGTAGGTATCATATGTCTTAGAGGTGCTCAGAAATACGTAAAGTATGTTTTGTTTGGCTCTGAGGCCAGGCTGGCAAGCGCAGAGCTAAGGACATGCCCTTTGACTTGAAGAGATAAGGTAGAATGTCAATGCTATCTTCAGTTTGTGTTTTTGAGTTACATTAACAAATATCCAAATACCTGGATTTATTTCCAGAGGTATTTTAGATTTAGAAACTAGACTTTAAAATCTGAAATGTACAAGTTGGTATTGTCACCCTGCTGTCCGCTGCAGTTGACTAAACAATACTGTCAGCAGTCGTTCACAGGTGCGTTGATGTCAGGTGTGAGGAGCAGCTGTTTGAATCTGTCTGCATTGAGAGCAGAGTAGTTATGAATAATTCCACAGGGAAGGAAGGAACACGTGCCCTTCCTGCCTGCTGAATCATTCTCAACAGCCAGCCTGCCAGACTCTTTTTCTCTGGATCATGTGCCAGCGCGGATCCCTCCCCCATTGTAAAGTCTTTAAAGTTGTTATTTTTTGTATTTGATTGTCTTTTTATTGGCTGGGAGAAGAAGACATAACTATTTTTGGGTAAGGTCTCTATGGTAACAGCGAGCTGGCTTACAATCATGGTGTTGGAGGCTGTCAGTAAACAGCTCTGTGGAGCTCTAGTGGTTCTGGAACTCTCCCTCTTCGCTCTTCTATGGTCTACATTAACACCATTATATACACAATCTGTCACCTGTCATTACCACTCACTTCAGCTCATTTCATCTTATGACAAATGTATTTGGAAGATAAATTCCCTTTCTTCTCCAGCTCTCCTGTACGCCACCATCTTTGGAAATGTGACCACCATCTTCCAGCAGATGTACGCCAACACCAACCGCTACCACGAGATGCTGAACAACGTGAGGGACTTCCTCAAGCTCTACCAGGTGCCCAATGGACTGAGTGAGAGGGTGATGGACTACATCGTCTCTACATGGTCCATGTCCAAGGGCATCGACACTGAGAAGGTGAGCCATGCCCCTGAGCTTGGACCCAGGAGAGAAAGGCTCTAACAACACCAGGGCTGCCTGGGGGTTAGAGCACAGGAGGGATGGGCTCTAACAACACCATGGCTGGGGTTAGAGCACAGATACAGTAGTAGTATGGTTATGAGAACTGCAGAAAGCTTGTAGAACTCCCATTGGATTCTAATGAATGGGAATACACAATACCGCAATGGCTCAGTACAATGGTGAAACCCATACTATACCATGCAAAGTAATACAAACAACCTGAAAGCCTGATGGACAGGTGTCTGTCTGTCCTCTCTCCAGGTGCTGTCTATCTGTCCTAAGGACATGCGGGCGGACATCTGTGTCCACCTGAATCGGAAGGTGTTCAATGAACACCCTGCGTTCCGCCTGGCCAGTGACGGCTGCCTGCGCTCTCTAGCCGGGGAGTTCCAGACCATCCACTGTGCCCCCGGGGACCTCATCTTCCACGCTGGGGAGAGCGTTGACACACTCTGCTTTGTGGTGTCAGGGTCACTGGAGGTCATTCAGGACGATGAGGTCATCGCTATTCTAGGTGAGCAGCAAAATGCATCATGGCATCTTTCTCCAGTTTCCACACCAACTTACTGGTGAGTTCTTGAGTTTGTCTGTGGATTAGTGGTGCGCGGGTCAGCTGTTTGTTTACCCGCAGCGGACCGCAATTGCTAATAACCCATCCGCAACGCCCGACTATATATGATAAAGTGAAAATCTGAGGCCCGCACCCAACCTTAACCCGCAAATATGGAAAATGCACTGTATGCTACAGTCAAAGACTGCAGAACGATTTTTTATAATAATATAATATGCCATTTAGCAGACGCTTTTATCCAAAGCAACTTACAGTCATGCGTGCATACATATTTTTTTTTTTGTGTATGGGTGGTCCCGGGGATCGAACCCACTACCTTGGCGTTTCAAGTGCTGCGCTCTACCAGCTGAGCTACAGAGGACCACCAGAGGACAGGGGGTGCAGCATTTTGTTTTGCCTGATTTAGATATGTTTCAGCTTATAATTTCCCACATTTTGGTAGGCTATTTGTTAGTCAACTTGTCTATAATTAGATACATGCAGTGGCGATTTTAGCATGTAGATCTTGATGGGGCAGACTACAAAAAAAATTGGGGGATGCATGCCACTACACAACACAACACTAAACAACGGTGACAAACAGTGCCCACAAACTGTTAGGGCCTATATAAAGCTGTCCCAACAGCAGAGTCCCAACAGCAGTCCCAACAGCAGTCCCAACACTTTACCACTACTACACCTGGCTATCAGCGGAGCCTTGTCTGGCAGCGAAACAGTTAATTCAGCCTCATTTACTGCCTTTAAAAAAAACATAGCTGAAATACGGCTGACTTGCTTAAACGAATGTGGTTTCTACTGTCAATTGAGATGTACAAACTATGGCATAAGGGGACGACGAGCGGATAAGAGGCAATCCGTAATTTCGATTAAGACATTAATGCGCGAGCTAGGACGGACATAGTCAATATAACTATTTGTTCAGCACTTTTGAAATGTACAGCGACAGAATTCAGAACATGGGCCGTTCTTACAGTATTCTCCCTGTACACCAAGTCAGAACCGTAGGATAAATAAAGGGGGCATATAAGCAGACAATGAAAGCTCTTACAATATTTGATGATTACATTTCTCTAAAACAGGCTATAGGCTACATGTGCAACACCAAGTCAGAACAGGAGGCGAAATTAAGAGGGGAAAGGGGACCAAACTACACTGCTCAAAAAAATAAAGGGAACACTTAAACAACACAATGTAACTCCAAGTCAATCACACTTCTGTGAAATCAAACTGTCCACTTAGGAAGCAACACTGATTGACAATAAATTGAACATGCTGTTGTGCAAATGGAATAGACAACAGGTGGAAATTATAGGCAATTAGCAAGACACCCCCAATAAAGGACTGGTTTTGCAGGTGGTGACCACAGACCACTTCTCAGTTCCTATGCTTCCTGGCTGATGTTTTGGTCACTTTTGAATGCTGGTGGTGCTTTCACTCTAGTGGTAGCATGAGACGGAGTCTACAACCCACACAAGTGGCTCAGGTAGTGCAGCTCATCCAGGATGGCACATCAATGCGAGCTGTGGCAAGAAGGTTTGCTGTGTCTGTCAGCGTAGTGTCCAGAGCATGGAGGCGCTACCAGGAGACAGGCCAGTACATCAGGAGACGTGGAGGAGGCCGTAGGAGGGCAATAACCCAGCAGCAGGACTGCTACCTCCGCCTTTGTGCAAGGAGGAGCAGGAGGAGCACTGCCAGAGCCCTGCAAAATGACCTCCAGCAGGCCACAAATGTGCATGTGTCTGTTCAAACGGTCAGAAACAGACTCCATGAGGGTGGTATGAGGGCCCGACGTCCACAGGTGGGGGTTGTGCTTACAGCCCAACACTGTGCAGGACGTTTGGCATTTGCCAGAGAACACCAAAATTGGCAAATTCGCCACTGGCGCCCTGTGCTATTCACAGATGAAAGCAGGTTCACACTGAGCACGTGACAGACGTGACAGAGTCTGGAGACACCGTGGAGAACGTTCTGCTGCCTGCAACATCCTCCAGCATGACCGGTTTGGCGGTGGGTCAGTCATGGTGTGGAGTGGCATTTCTTTGGGGGGCCGCACAGCCCTCCATGTGCTTGCCAGAGGTAGCCTGACTGCCATTAGGTACCGAGATGAGATCCTCAGACCCCTTGTGAGACCATATGCTGGTGCGGTTGGCGCTGGGTTCCTCCTAATGCAAGACAATGCTAGACCTTATGTGGCTGGAGTGTGTCAGCAGTTCCTGCAAGAGGAAGGCATTGATGCTATGGACTGGCCCGCCCGTTCCCCAGACCTGAATCCAATTGAGCACATCTGGGACATCATGTCTCGCTCCATCCACCAACGCCACGTTGCACCGTTTGGTGTTCGCCAAAAGGCATGTGGGAGACTCCCCAAACATATGGAAGAAGGTACTCTGGTCAGATTAGACTAAAATTGAGCTTTTTGGCCATCAAGGAAAACGCTATGTCTGGCGCAAACCCAACACTTCTCATCACCCTGAGAACACCATCCCCACAGTGAAGCATGGTGGTGGCAGCATCATGCTGTGGGGATGTTTTTCATCAGCAGGGACTGGGAAACTGGTCAGAATTGAAGGAATGATGGATGCTGCTAAATACAGGGAAATTATTGAGGGAAACCTGTTTCAGTCTTCCAGAGATCTGAGACTGGGACGGAGGTTTACCTTCCAGCAGGACAATGACCCTAAGCATACTGCTAAAGCAACACTTGAGTGGTTTAAGGGGAAACATTTAAATGTCTTGGAATGGCCTAGTCAAAGCCCAGACCTCAATCCAATTGAGAATCTGTGGTATGACTTAAAGATTGCTGTACACCAGCGGAACCCATCCAACTTGAAGGAGCTGGAGCAGTTTGCATGCTCAAGTTTTCAGTTTTTTTGTCTTATTTATTTCACAATAAAACGTATTTTGCATCTTCAAAGTGGTAGGCATGTTGTGTAAATCAAATGATACAAACCCCCAAAATACAATTTAATTCCAGGTTGTAAGGCAACAAAATAGGAAAAATGCCAAGGGGGGTGAATACTTTCGCAAGCCACTGTATTAATGTCAAAATAACATGCAAAACAGTCAACCCCAAGGTGGTGCTCAATATGACGGGTCGCTACTGGATACATGTAGCTTTTCTTTTGTCATTATATGTTTCCCTAGAATACTAAATAAACCCTTGCTCAACAGAATGTAATATATCGATAGAATGAATGCTTCAATCTAGTTGACATCGGTAAAGTTTTCTCTGTCATCTTTCGCAGAGCAAAGATGTTTAGGTACTGGGGAGAAAATACAATAAAGCAAAAACAAACGGGAAAGATTTTCTGTACAAAATGTCCAAATGACATCAGTTTGACCGTTTGTAAGGAAAAAGAAAGCTGTGAAAACGACCCGACGTGTTTCTGATACGATTTCAGTTCGGCTTCGATGCATATTTTATGTGGTTGAAATACTATCAGCTTTTATGATGAAGACAGCACCTCTACAGATGGTATCTAACTGAGCATTGCATTCTCTCGAGATGCAGAAATAAATTAATCATATTTCTCCAATGTTCCCAAATCCAAATTTTACCTACATTTGGTGTATAATTTTACTGCAAGAAATGTTTAATTCTGCAGGAGTTATTATTAAGGCTATAGCCCTATTCGCACGGGACTAATAGTAGTTATACTAGAGAACGTTGGTTATGTATTTAATACACCAGAATGTCAGTTATTCCAGAGGACGATTCGGACGGGATACGTTTTTTTCCAAACTGCCCCCTGTAATTATTTATATATATAAATTGACAGTTATGACGGAAGCCTGGATGTTTTTTTCAAAGTGTGAAGATATTTCAAAAGGTCCAGGCGATAACAGGCTACACTGATAGCTCGAGCTTGGTTCCCAAGTTTCTAAACCATACCAAACCATCTTTGGTATAGTGTCCCCATAATATTTGAATTGAGGAAGTGTGATCATAAATCATTAGGATATTTTAGCGATCCGCAGTAGAAGACATTCTAAATGTGGGGGAGCCTTCAGATGTGAGCTTAACTTGCATTTGAAATGCATTTTTAGGCTATGAATGAGAAAGTGAAGTTGTTCCAAACGTTTAGCTCAGTTGTAAGCTGCTTTGCGATCTCTTAACAGCAAGGGTTGCATTAAACAGGTGCAATTTTTTTGAAATGATGAATTTGGCGATGTTCAATTCAATCGCACAAAACGTATAAACAAAAACATTGACTGTGAAAGTTGATACATGTAGGCCATTCATATATAGGCTATGCGCAGCACTTCGTTCAATTTATCGAATCAGTTATTGTTTTGTTGCTCAAACCGCGAGCAACACCTGTAAAACTCAGATATTTCTCTCAAAACACAGGGATGTCGATTCGCACGTGAGTAGTATTATCAAAGGACTTTGGAGTTTGGCAAAAAAAACAGTACGTTATTTTGGTTAGTCAATGTCCAGATTTCAGTTTCCATTTAACCCATCTAGGCTACAGTTTCCTTGACGTGCCATAGTATTTGAAGTCCCGTCTTGTGACTGTCGAATTTGTATAGTGCCTCACAATCATCACACATAACATAGCCGGCACTGCTATCATCCTCTTTTACCACTTCACAATATCTTTTCCAAACATTACTTTTTTGGCCCCCCCTTCTCTTTATTTTTAACTCTCCTTTTGCAGCTTTTGTCTTATTGAATTAAACTTCGACAATGTACATTTTGCTTCCGTGGATTGTTGTTAACTTTTTCTGCCAGTTCCCAAAAGCATTATTTGGCGATTGGCTGTGTAGGCAATTTGGCACGCGTAAACCCACAAGTTTAGGCTTATGCACTAATAGCAGATAGCCTAAAATAATGAAAGAAAAACCTCAATGTAGACTATATAAATTGCACAATAATTATGCATTTATGGATTTTTTTATGGTATTGTGTCTCTTCCACCCGCACTTCAGCCATACAATATTTAATGACCCGCGCATCACTGTTGTGGATGATGTTGTTTCAGGGGTTAGGCTAATGCCTTGTAAACTCAAACAGCAAAAAAAAAATAATAAAAAAAAATAGATAAAGATATATAAAGAAAGAAAGATAAAGACAGAGTTGGAGACCAGCAGAGCAGGCTGTAGTGCCGGCGGGTGTTTGCGGAGGGTCTTTTATTGCTTTTCCACTTCCTTGACTTCATTAGGAGCTAGAGTAGGGCTGTAGTTAGAGCTTCATAAAAAGTGTATTAGCTACAGATGATTTGCCTCACAAACAACATGGAGGACATTAATCAGCAGCTCAAATGGACGCCAACGCGAGGCGTCTGTCTCGCCACCACGGGTGGGTCCGGGATCACATTTACGGTCTTCGATTTAGAGCAGATCGACACTGCAGGAGACTCACGGTGGGGGAGCAGTGGGGGGTTGGGCGCAGCACGAGAGGAAGGAGGCGCAATGGTAGTCTGTACGTTTGTTCTATCATGTTTAATATTGTTGATGGTAAGTTATGTGCACTACTTAGAGACAAGTCAGTGTACATGTGTAAAAAAATAAGATCTGTCACGCCTCATTTGGTGCCCGATCTGTTGCCATTCACCCTGCTCAATTCCACTTTACTGTAGGTATGTGATTCTAGTCATACTGTAGACTCTGGTTGCAAAACCTGACAAGACTATGGTAACAGGTGGTTGCTTAGAGACAGGGTGGCAGCTGACTGTGCTGTATGTCTCATGGGCAAACAGTGGAACACCTCCCTTTAGCCTTGGCCAACTCTGTGCCTCCCTCCCCCTGGAAGTAAGAGATGTAAACAGGCAAGAGGAATAGCTAGGGCTCATAGCTGACTGGGGGAGTGAGAGAGAGACAGAGGCCGAGTGAGATAGAAAGAGAGACCCCTCTGATTTCCCCTGGCTATCACTAAGCTAACTTTAAACTCTGGGTCTTTTCTCTCTTCTTCATTAGCAGCCCAGTAGCAGAGGAGAGGAGCTGCCTGCAACACTCCCACTGTAACAAGCCTATACCTGGACAACCTGCAGAATCACACACCTTCACATTATTAAATCCATTACACTGGCCACAGGGCTACAGGAACTTTCCATCAAACAATATTCCGTCAGCCTTATCAGTTTATGATTTTCTCCTCTGTTCTGGCTTTGTTGTGTTTCGCGAAATTATGATTTGATTAATTTCGCAATCTATTATTCATGCTGCGTTATGAGAAAGGGGATTTTAGTGGGGGAAAGTATTCACACAGCAATATGTTCTGGCCCAGTGAACTGATTGGATCTGCAGTAAGCTGAGGGAGATGAGACCGTATCAGTCCTTCTCAGCACTGTGCCTTAGTCACAGAGATCTGCTAGCTTACCACAATTGATCACACAAACAGGACAAACATGAAACACTGAATTCACTCCCATCCACCTCCACAAAGGATGATTGAAGTGTGAGAGTAGCGCTGCATTGATCTTCAACCACAGACAGTAAGACACCTCCTCTCAGGTTGAGCCTGACCTCTAGCTCCTCTAGAGCCACCATGCTGATCTCTCTGACCTTCTCCATATCTGCTCCAATAATTGGTGGCGTGCTGTGTCTCTAAGGGGGGCTCATTCTAGATGTATCCAGCACCGCAGGACTCTAGTTGGATGGTTCCTCAGACCCAATAGGGAAATGGTACAGGAGAGATAAGATTCACACATCCTGTCTGTGTTGTGGTTCTGATGTTTGGGTTCTCTCTGCTGAAGGGTAGACTGATTGGATTGAGTTTCATTGGTTTTCATTTGGTGATACTAGTGCAATCCCTTGAATGTGAACCAATTGAACATTGATTTGATATTCAACTGACATTTTATGATAATTTTAGATGGGTTGAAATGAGAAGAATACTTTTTTGTTGGTCTTTACCGGCTGTAGAGTAAATCAGCTTGTAACATTTTACTGTGCTCTGAGTAATGAGTATCTTTGGTTGCTAAGGGCTCAGCCAGGTAACCTCATCGCTAAGGAAACCTTGAAACCTCAGATCTCAAAATATCCATGACTTCTGTGACTGGTGATTTCACTGTGAAAATACTAAATATTGTACTATTTTGTCTCCCACACAAATCTCTAAATGTATCTTTCCCCTCTCTCAGGTAAAGGAGATGTGTTTGGAGATGTGTTCTGGAAAGAGACCACTCTTGCACACGCGTGTGCTAACGTGCGGGCGCTGACGTACTGCGACCTGCATGTCATCAAGAGAGAGGCACTGCTCAAGGTTCTGGAGTTCTACACAGCCTTCGCTAACTCCTTCTCACGCAACCTCATCCTCACCTGCAACCTACGCAAGCGGGTATGAGTTACCCAGTGACGCACGCACACGCACACACACACACACTGACAAACACGTCACTCTTTTTCCTCCCTCTTCTGTAACCTATTTTCTCATGTAAAACTTTTGCAGAGTTTTTTTTGCCTTTCTCCTTGACTGCAGATAGTTACAGTGGCTTTTATTCGGTACATGGGTATTTACCATCAAAAGGTATTTTTATGTGCACTATGTATTTTTACGCACAGACTTTTATCCATTTAAATTACAGGTTGTAATGCAACAAAATTGGAAAAACGCCAAGGGGGATGAATACTTTTGCAAGGCACTGTAGTTCTTCCATCAATAGTGCTGAGCATTAACTGAAACTGTTTTTATTTGAATTCCTTTTCGTTTTTTTTGTAGATCAGAATATTTTGTATAAAGATAAGCATTATATTGTTAGATTATAGGAGTAACTCTGGTAGTCTTCCTCACATCAAGTTCAACTGTCGGAGGTGCACACTGCCTTCATATCATAGGCTTGCAGTAGCTAAAGCTTAATAATAGCCACACCAAACCTTCACAAAAGTTTCTGAACTTTATTAGGCTAATATCAAAAGTAAGTCAAGCCATTGTTTATAGGGAAAATACGAGCAGGCTATTATATTGCTGCAAACACAGCATTACAGTTGGAACAATTAGGCCAAAGAAAATGGCTCAACCGAATGAAACAAAACACTTGTGAACTGCTTTAAAACTTCACAGGCTATATTGCAGCAATTACCAACAAAGGCAAGTGCCTACCTTACCCAACAAATGACAGAAATAGGCTAATGTTATTTATTTTACAACAGACCTACTTATAACCTATCTTAAACTAAATACGGATTACCCAGTTAAAAAGACAGATCACATTTAATTTAGCCAATGAAAATGTCTCAACAGAATTAAACAAAACAGGTTTAGCATATTTAAAGAACTGGTTTAGATTAATAAATAGGCTTACAATAATAACAATGATATACAATAATAATAATAATGTTAAAACAAATTATTATAAATACATTTTAAGTTCCAAAATTGCATTATAGCTGAATAGGGAGTTGCACAGTATCCTGCATTCTTCTAATCTTAGTCCACTACAATATTAAAACTTATATTCAATTCCCCTTGTATACTTTTCACTATAGGCATACTCTTTTTCCTCTAACTTTTGTTTTACATCTTCACAATCAACAGCAGCCTAGGCCAAGGCTCCTCTGTTCTCTCTCTCCTCAACAGCAGCCTAGGCCAAGGCTCCTCTGTTCTCTCTCTCCTCAACAGCAGCCTAGGCCAAGGCTCCTCTGTTCTCTCTCTCCTCAACAGCAGCCTAGGCCAAGGCTCCTCTGTTCTCTCTCTCCTCAACAGCAGCCTAGGCCAAGGCTCCTCTGTTCTCTCTCTCCTCAACAGCAGCCTAGGCCAAGGCTCCTCGGTTCTCTCTCTCCTCAACAGCAGGCACACCTGCGCGCAAGGTGTACCTGTGCGCAAGGCGTAAGAGAATGGTGCGGAAGCCGAATTCGGGGTGTAGGCTATGATAGACGGCCTCTCCTGAGCAATTTGGCCTGCTACAATTTCATTTATTGGCTTTTCATTTTTTTTATCGGCCAAACCTTGGAGCATTTTCCCATCAGAGTTGTATTTCCATCAAATTGACTTGTTACAGATAAAAGTCTGTGCGTAAATACATAGTGCACATAAAAATACCTTTTGATGGTAAATACCCATGTACCGATAAAAAAATACAAGTAAAATGGGTTTCCATTGCTTTTTCAACTCTAGGCATACTGATGGTTTTGTCACTAAAAATGTTGAAAAGGTGTAGCGAATGTGCCCACTCTGGTATTGGCACATGCGCTCTAGCCAACAGCTTGCAGATACATAGCCTACTACATGATGAGATAATTATGGGCAAAAGTGCAAGATTATTTTTATTTATCAAATGGCAGCCAAGCATCGATCATCATGTCACCAGAATAAGACCCTCGATATTTATTGAAAGGAGCATCACTGTGCACTTTCACCACCCTGTGAAGTTCATCATAACTTATTTCATCTGTAGCCTAATGAACTGCATGCTTTCCCATGATGTGGTGAATTTTTTTTAAAATCAGACATGTAGGCTACTTTACTCGCATTAAAAAGGTTGGATGGAAACCTGGTTAATGTCAAGCCATTTTGAGGATTCTGGAATTATATTTTGGATGAATGTGCGCATGCCTACAGGAGACTTTTGAAGTAGCCTAATCAGATTAAAACATTGTGACTGGTAGTATTTATGCCACATATAAAAGGTAATACATTAAAAAAGTTAAATGGTAAATATTTAGGCTCTATTGAAGGGTTCTAGGTGAATAACCGCTCGGATTAGAGAGGAGACAGAGCATGTGTTAAGCTTTCCTGAATAACTGGGTCTGCCGGGAACATATGTGGCCACATTATTATAGGACGACTTGGGAGAATGATAATCTGCAACAGACAGCGCAATCAATATCAGAAGTAAAAATACAGCCAGACTGGCCTGCTACTGTGCCTTTCTAGACCTTATAAACTGTCAAGAGTAGACCCACAACTGATCCAAATCGAATTAAACATTTAAATCACAGGGCTTTTGCGCCGTTATTCAAATGACATTTTTACTGCAGCCTAGAGTAGGCTAGAATGTTGTACTCACTTGAAAACAATAATGCAATTATTCATTTCCTTATTTACATAAGTATTCAGACTGTTTACTATGAGACTCAAAATTGAGTTCAGGTGCATCCTGTTTCCATTGATCATCTTTGAGATGTTTCTACAACTTGATTGGAGTCCACCTGTGGTAAATTCAATTGATTGGACATGATTTGGAAAGGCACACACCTGTCTATATAAGGTCCCGGCAGGTAGCTTAGTGGGTAAGAGCGTTGTGCCAGTAACCGAAAGGTTGCTGGTTCTAATCCCCGAGCCGACTAGGTGAAAAATCTGTCGATGTGCCCTTAAGGAAGGCACTTAACCCTAATTGCTCCTGTAAGTCGCTCTGGATAAGAGCGTCTGCTAAATGACTAAAAATGTAAATGTAAAATGTCCCACAGTTGACAGTGCATGTCAGAGCAAAAACCAAGCCATGAGGTTGAAGGAATTGTCTGTAGAGCTCTGAGACAGGATGTGTCGAGGCACAGATCTGGGGAACGGTACCAAAACATTTCTGCAGCATTAAAGGTTCCCAAGAACACAGTGGCCTTCATTATTCTTAAATGGAAGAAGTTTGGAACCACCAAGACTCTTCCTAGAACTGGCCAAACTGAACAATCGGGGGAGAAGGGCCTTGGTCAGGGACACTGACAGAGCTCCAGAGTTCCTCTGTGGAGATGGGAGAACCTTCCAGAAGGACAACCATCTCTGCAACACTCCACCAATCAGGCTTTTATGGTAGAGTGGCCAGACAGAAGCAACTCCTCAGTAAAAGGGACATGACAGCCCGCTTGGAGTTTGCCAAAAGGCACCTAAAGACTCTCAGACCATGAGAAACAAGATTCTCTAGTCTGATGAAACCAAGATTGAACTCTTTGGCCTGAATGCCAAGCGTCACGTCTGGAGGAAACCTGGCACCATCCCTACTGTGAAGCATGGTGGTGGCAGCATCATGCTTTGGGGATGTTTTTCAGTGGCAGAGACTGGGAGACTAGTCAAGATCAAGGGAAAGATGAATGGAGCAAAGTACAGAGAGATCCTTGATGAAAACCTGCTCCAGAGCGCTCAGGATCTCAGACTGGAGCGAAGGTTCACCTTCCAACAGGACAACGACCCTAAGCACACAGCCAAGACAACGCAGGAGTGGTTTCGGGACAAGTCTCTGAATGTCCTTGAGTGGCCCAGCCAGAGTCCGGACTTGAACCCGATCTAACATTCTGGAGATACCTGAAAATAGCTGTGTAGCATCGCTCCCTGAGAGGATCTGCAGAGAAGAATGGGAGAAACTCCCCAAATACAGGTGTGCCAAGCTTGTAGCGTCATACCCAAGAAGACTCGAGGCTGAAATCACTGCCAAAGGTGCTTCAACAAAGTACTGCGTAAAGGGTCTGAATACTTATGTAAATGTGATATTTAATTTTTTTATTTTTTTTATACAAAGCAAAAACTTGTTATGGGATATTGTTTGTAGATTGATGAGGGAAAAAAAAACTATTTAATCAATTTTAGAATAAGGCTGTAACATAACAAAATGTGGAAAAAGTCAAGGGGTCTGCACTCACTAACTGTAAGTCGCTCTGGATAAGAGCGTCTGCTAAATGACTAAAATGTAAAATGTAATACTTTCCGAATGCACTGTATGATTGCTAGTTAGCCTATTGCAGATACGGACAAAGGATCCACCTACCACTATTGTCTATGAATGGTGGATAGAGGGCAGGACAGACTGTTAGACTATACTGACCTGTGGTATAGTAAAGGTTAGCACACGGAAAAGCGTAGTGCATAAGGGAAGTACCAAAACACCTTGATAAAGAGGAGGCGCATGCAAGCAGATGAGGAAATTTGGCAAGGATGGAAGAAATTATATAGTAAATCCTGCAAAAGAGCAAATGTACACCATGGAAAAAATGCACTACCCTCCCCTTTGTCCAATAAAAAAACCACACAACCCTCCCCAAAGCAAAAAACTAAGTTTGACAACCCTCCCCCCCAGTAAATTGCGATCTGTCCCTTACAGCATTCAACCCACATAATGCATAGTGTATTTAATGTTTAAAAAAATAATCGAAACCGTAATTCTCACATTATTAGGGTATTAATCCTAAAGGTATTTACCATGTTTATTCTCTCTACACTCAATAGGTCTTTTGTCAGAGCCATTTTCACATAATGAATTATATTAAATACCAATAGACTCATTACTTACTGTGGCCTTTTAGCAGTTAACACCCACAGACATCTTGGCAGTCTCCTATCTCCCAGTGAGAAATAGCAGAGATAGTGTTTGTGTGTGCGTGCGTTGAACTGCCGCTATATGGCTGGTCCTTGTTTGTTTG